GAATGTATTGGGCTTTGGAGATGACCGGCCACGACCGGTAAGCTGAGTACGGGTTTGGGGCGTCCTCTTCGTTACGAGCAACAGGCTTAAGGGTTCTCTCACGCAGCCTGGAACCACCTGCATGTTGAAATACTCAATGTCAGTCACTAGTAATTGGGCACAACAGTACCTAGGTAATGACCTATTACCGGAATACTCTTTGGTATATTGATTCAGACATCAGATCATTGTACATACCTGCGGGTTATACATTGAATGAACCATAGGAGTATTGTTCATCGAGCCATTGTCCAATAGGATATTTTTGTAATGTTACTACACGTCGGAATATTTACCGTGATCCGTACGTTGCAACACATAGTCCGTGTGTGCCTTCATTCCGGAATGAGGATGGATGGCTCGCTCACGTGTTGCTCGCCCCCGTCACTCCCTCATTCTCTCCTTTCTTCCCTATATCTGACAAGGTCATTGGTCTCTTCAAGGTCCTTCGGGGTTCTTGCGAGTCTCAGGACTCTCCCTGTGCCTTTCCATACCTTCGGCGCGAGGATGTGGAATGGGGGGTGCGGGTAATGTAGCAGTGATGCAAACACGATTTAGGCAGAGAAGAAATGAGACAGCAGTGTCGAGTAGAAGATCGTTTCGGCCGAGAGGGGTTGGCCGTAAGTATGCGTGTGCCGCTACTGTACTGCTGCACTACTGTATACTGGTACATAAGAAAGATCATGTGATGCGTGCTGTGATGAACTCATCGTCGTCGGGCCTCGAGCCAAGCGTCTTGGAGACGACAAACGTGCATGATAAAAAATATCAAAAGTAAGAAAAAAAATGTAGTATTATAGCCTGGTTTTACTGTCATCTTGCATTACCCTTGCCGTTGATGACACGGTGCTCTCATGAGTAACACTGCAGAGGATCTCCTGTAGACGAGACTACAGCGGTAGACTGTACATGTACTCTACAAATGAATACAAGTATAGAAGAACCGGATCTACACGTGCTTTCAGACACGCTTGAACACCTTCGACTAATTGCCGCAACACGAACCAGGGTGTGTATACTGCCCCGCCGAGAGGTACCCACCAAACGGGAGTACACTAGAGTACCCGGTCGCAAGACCATGTTTCGAATTTGGTACCATTTTGTGAACCTAACAGGAGTCTCTCGCGGGATGAACGGCAGTCCAGCAAACGTAACTGCTCCAAGGTAGCAGTGTAGACATAGACTACAGTAGCAGCAAGCAGTGCGGGAAAGTGCCACAAGCAAGCGTGGTCCGGCACGCACAGCTGCCTCGTGAGTGCCTCTCTGGCACCATGCCACATACCAACATCACCAGAGCCTGTCATTAGTACGGTGACATCGCGGCGGCACAAGATACCAAACATCCCACCTCTCTGGCAGAAAGTTCGCCTTTCATGTTGTGCTCACGACACCGCTTTCGGTGCTGTGCGAGCTCCTGCGTCCGGAGAAGACGGCCGAGTTTGAGGTCTCCATCCAACCGACTTACAGCTTACACGGTGTTGTGAGTCCACAGCTCCCGCCATCTGACATAGAGAACCAGTCATCACGACGTATAACATGCACAAGACGTCGCGTTCCGCTGCTGTGGAACACATCTACATTATACCGAGTAGCAAAGTGTTGCGTGCAGTCTGCAGTCAGCATATAACTTGTACTTCATGATACAGTATGCCACAGCCAGTAGTGCCTGATGTCAACGTTGTTGGTCGACTCGTCCAAGTTTGCCCGTTGGATACATCAAGGTTCCGCCTCTCACCATGCCCCGTTTCCGCTCTCTCTCCTCTTGCTTGGTGCTTTCAGTGTCCTCGGTGTCTCCAGCATAGACACGCATCATCTTGAGAGATGGGAGAATCGTGGAGCTACGGCGCTGGCGGCGGGTGTAATAGAGGCCTCCCAAATGACCCATGCGGCGGGACTGTACCGTAGCCCCGCTCTGAGGCAAGAACGCCTCTTCCTCTTGCCGTTCATTTTCAAGTGGAGGATCTTGGGGGCCTGGGCCCCCGCCCATGACGCTCACACAATCTCACGAGGCATTCAGCAGGAGCGAGGCGCGCGAGCAGAGACAGGGTGGTGAATACACGACCCAGATCAGACTACCGCACGATCGCTTCTTCTTACTGTTGGCACGCGAGGAATCAACCTTCTGGTCGCATCTCCCGTCCGTCCACGCCTCAGCCAAGAGAAAAGAGAGCGAACTCAGCTCCGTTGAGGATTTCAGCCGGTGGATTAAACCGAGAACAGACAAGCAGACGAGGCGGAGGCAGCCAAAGGAATAGGACAGCAGCAGCAGAGGGGAGCAGGAAGCCTCACGACCGTAGCGCACCTACAAACGTCGCGGCACTTCGTCTGTACGGTCGGCGTGGGCTTACTGAGGCAACTTTTGGCAGCGCGACGGGTGGGCTGTTTGGTTGCAGACCTAAGCGTCTGGTTCAGACAAGGGAGGAGTCGGACCGACCCGACAGGATAGCCCTTCAGCTCCCTGCCGGATTGAGTATCAAGCCCATCACGTCAAGATTGGGCAGCATCACCTCGCAGCATCGGAGTACATACAGTAGGAGCAAGCACATCGACTGTAGCCACATCGTCAACTATGGTAGTCATCGTCGAAACTGGTGACGGCGGGTGGGATACCCAGGAGGAGCCGAGGGACATGTGAGTGTTGAGACTCTTTCTTGCTGCAGGCTTCGCATTTAGTCTCGGTAGAGGCAGAGATTGATAAGGCGCTAGGATGCTCGTACTTGTTCACTTCGCTTACGGCGATGTTCTTCCCCACGTGTAGGTTTTGTCAAACTGCTGTGCATGCATCCACGCCTGCCTGCTTCTCCTTCAGATCGATGTGAGATCAGATGCCCAGTAGGACACGATGTTGGTGAGATCCATCTTCGTGCCAACTGCCGGGTGCAACAAGAAAGCCTCTTCTACCTGATAAGATGCTCTCGACGATCCAAGTGGAGCAGATCGTGGGGCAGGGTTGTGCCACACACACACACAATTGACCCTACTGTCTAGACGTAGCCACGGGGGCGTGGGGGTGATATGTACCATTTGGCGTGATCCGTTTAGCCCTGGGCTTTGCATCTCGTGAAGAGAGAGATGTGAGATATTTATATGTGCCGATAGATGTTCATGTGTCGAATGTGTACTGTATCATAAGTTGGAATATATGAGTCTCCTGGACTGGTTACATTCCACCAATAAATGTGGATGGACATACACGTGCTCAAATACAACAAACAAGCGCCCCAACCCGCACTCTCCTGGTAAAAACGCCTAAACGACAACGATACAGCCCGCGGCCACACGCCAAAAACAGACAAGCCCCGGGCCAACACCAACTCGGGTAAAGGCATGCAGTTCATGTTGTTTCTCGCGCCCCGGGGTAAACGCTACGCAATTTTTGCACATTCTTGGGCAAAATAAAACCTAGAGGCGTGGATTACGGGGAGGGGCAAAAATGGCGTGTACGTAGACAGGCCACACATACAGAGGTCGTATGGAAGAAACGGGTTGCTGGGGGGAGAACTGCTTCATAGTGTAGTGTTGGAAACTGTGCTGGGAAGCTTCAGTAGTATCGGCCGTTCTGTAACAATCGAGGAGTGCGATAGTATTTCTTCAAGATGAGAAGCACTGCTTGCCTTGGATGGATATCTTGATTGCTGACATCGATGTTGCGACCCTCCCCCTCCCGCCAACTTCAACAGGCTTGTGGGAAGGGTTTTCGGAGGCCTCCCGAACGCCCGGCTTGGACGGCATTCGGTGAAGGCGGCGAGATCACCGGTTGACCCCGGAACGGAGCCATCGACTCCATGTTCTCCGTTCCCGGACCTCGGGAACATGAACAAGTGGGAGACTCCTCGTGTACCCCAGAGAGAAGGTGAGTTACTACGTAGCTTCCGCAACAACGTGGCTCATCCACGCAAAACCTCAATGCACAATCAACAAGCGGGGGTTTATAGACCCGCTGCCATTCGCTGACTTTGCGTTGAGTGTACTTTTTCGCCAAAACCGCGTGCCCCCCCCACCCTCAAATCATCCATGATTTGCCCGTTTGGTTGGCTCCTATGCCCCAGGATAGATGGTGTCGAGGGGGCCGGCAATACATGCGCGGATACCATTCTGTTTTTTACGGCAATTTCCCTTCGTCTTGTGTCCTGTCTATCCTTGTCGCGATCATGTATAACTGCGGGCGATACGATGTAGTTTTGTATTTTCGAATCGAAACATCATGCAGTCCTCTTCGTATTCGTTCCGTGTGTTGTTTGTCAGTACGCGATCGATGCGTGTTTTAATGGCGACTGCTGCCCTGAAAAACGGGGCGCCGTCGAAGCTGCCACGCAGTTTACCCTAGTACAATAGTACGCGCTCCATCGATACCCCAAATAATTGACCACG